GGCGTGTGCACCGGGTTCGTGTTCAGTCCTTTACTTAACAGACCACGTATATGGAAGTGTAAATAAGTTTCTTTAAATTCACTCAAAATTGCGCACCAGAACTACGTTTAAATAAGCATATAAGAAAGTGTGATAGTGAAGGGGTGTTACATGGATATATGATAGATGAATACTCCATGACAGAAGGAGAGATACCACAACTGTTTAGCAGAAAATTGGTCAAATATCGACTTACTTTGCCTCTAACGAGTTGTAGTGCGGTGCTAAGTATAAGAAGACTCATTGGCGATGTCGAAGATAATTCTGGGAACATGCCAAGCCCACGGTCCGACTCTGGGAAGTATATTGTATTATATGGACTCTGAACAAGGTTCGCTCCTCTAGGCCTCACTTACAATACGACCAAGTTACGAAAATTAGGTCAACCAAGTTGTATACAACGATAGGAGACTGTGACCATACTAAAGGCTACACCATCTTGGTCTTCATACGTTCGATTAATGCTCTTAGCTGCTACACTTCAATTCTTAGGATGGCTTCTGATTCAATTTGGAAGCCCAATTTTTATGGCATCCAGAGTTATTTCTTCGGTGATTTCATGCATTAGCAATTAATTAAAAACCCATTATTATGTTATTGATTAAGAAATATCCAACATTTTATTGTTTTTAGTATCAGGGCATTTATGCGAGGCTGCACCTTTCGAGAATAGTTGTCCAACCAAGTTAATTTGCCTCTTACGGATATCTATTTCTTGGGCCTTCATTGCTATATCTCACTACTTAAGCCTTTTATTAAAATTCTCTATATTTAACTCATAAACCATTCTACTTGAAAAAGCTACTTTTAACTAAACCCCATAATACTAAAAACGGAAGTGCATTCGGACCTTTCATAATGTTTTCCTTATAAAACAGTAATCAAAGATCGGGTATTTTTGTCAACATTTTTTATGGTTAAATAGGTGGCTCGCTTGGCCCCTTCGGGATCGCATTATATAACCGTACGTGGCGAGCATCCTCTTCGTCTCCATCCGAGTTGCGTTCTCTACACTGTGACTGGTCATTGGCCAGCCTGGATATTGTTTACTCGCGTTCTCTCAAGTGATGGAGACTCTGCTTTATCCCGCATGCCAGCTGAAGTTGGCGCCGGCAGAGGTGATCCCACTGCGCTGTCTACAGCAACCTCCATTAGCCAAATTAGTGTGATAAACCCCGAATGGTTAATCGAACTGGCGCCGCACTATTTCACATTTGGTACAGATAGAGAACATTTGGAGGCATCTATCAAGTCAAATGATTAATTTTTTCACATTGCTATACATACGATGTCACTTGCTCTGCTCTCGCATGATTCTATACGTAAATTATGTCATCTTTATCGGAATTTACAATTTCAACTTTCAGAGGGTTATTTTGTCTGTCCCTTACCTGCTTACACAATTCCCCGATAACTAAGTCCTATTTAGTTATTCCCATTTGTACATATGTAAATTTTCCATTAATCATTGGTAAATATTATATTTTTATAACTTTCTTAGATTTGAATGAAGCAAAGCTCTAGTGAGGATATTCTTGACTGATTTTATCGAATTAGGAGAATCTACCAAATCAGACCAAGTGGATTTTGATATGGTATGACTCGTTTTTATAACTATCGGTTGTCACGGCTACCTTATAAAACACTTACTCTATAAGTTACTTTCCTTAGTAGTTATGATAATTTTCACTGTTAGATCGTGGACTTAGTATGCTTAGAATTATCATGACTACTATATTAAAGGAGTTAGGACAAAATGCGTCCAATTAGGTCGCCTTGGCAACAGTACCAAGTTGTTAAAACTAGATCAGTCCACTTCTATAGAGATAATGGGGACTGCAACTAAAGCACTTACCAATAGAGGTGAGAGCAGCGATCCCATAGTAAGTTTTAATGTGTTCATAGAAGTTGCCTTTGGATGTGACGTGGATTATCCTTACTGTCAAATTGATTAGGCATGTTAACAGCACCCTCCTGGTTCTCTCTGATTCCAGAATATCTTCTTATTTGTCCAATATCTCCAACTGTGTTGTTAGCGCCTTTTTTTCAGAAATCCTTGCATACATAGGTTGTACATTTAAACCTATCGATACTTCTGTTTCTTCCACTGTTATGTTTTTGATCCTTGGATAGAATTCTTATGAACGGCTCTATTACAGATCTTTGACCGAGAAGAGGATACCTTAAAGGCAGAGTGGATCAGGAGGGAGCCGCTAACACAACTGATCAACTAGGCAATAGGGATTATCTACTTCACATTCAATGACAACATCTATGAACACATTATAAGGGTAAATTTCGAAGCGTCATCTTTGCAAGAATGTTCATGCGCCACTCAGTTGACTATTTTGAACTTTCGTCGCATGAACCAGTGAAATTGGACAATTTTCTGCAGTCTACAAATCAAATAGATGGAAGAATCAAATTCAAAATGGAAGTAGAAGATGGGCTTTTACCTTTCCTTGATTTTGAATTCATTCGCTCTAATTTTACGTCCGATGGGTGAAGCATTGGATAAAGTGACTCGGGTATGCCCCAAAAATGAATATCTGAGAGCAGTAGTAAAAAGAAAAGTAATTTCCAATCGGGTTAGGAACCTTCTGAAATATAGGGAAGACATGCTAAATAAGTGTGGTCTGTTCGTAGAGGCAGCTACAATTTTATGGTCATGATGGTCACAATACTAGAAAGATAATTACAACCGTCACAGAAATTTGGCATCATAACCAAGTTGACTAGAATTGAATTTAAGGTGAAGTAGGCGATCAGATATATACGTTCATAGTTTCCTCAGTGTACACGAATTCAATCAGGGAGATGGCCAAAGGAGACAATGTATACTATCTGCTAGCATTGCAGTCTGAGCCTCAGTGCTCTGGTCGGCAAAGTCCCTGTACGTGTTACTAAAGGGTTGAATAATAGTACCTAGAGTAAGACGCATTCTGTGACTGGAACTGAGTAAGATCGGCAAACCAGTAAGTAATAAGCAACCAGTTTCCCTAGTCATGAGAAGACCCGAGTAGGACCAGCAGACCGAGGCAGGGCGGTCAAGGCAATGTGGTGTGATGGATCCACACTAAATCCGCAAAACAAGGGCAAGTCTCTTAAATACTGAAAAATAAACAGGTCAGCAGTTATGAATGGGTGGGAGCGAGATAAGAGTGTAGGAAGTAATCGAGTGAGCTCCGACAGAAAGAGGAGTGTTAGCATAACCCGTCCGGCAGAAAATTGGTTAGGGGTTTGACTTCCCTCGTCTATTTCACGAGTTGTCCCTTGGTGCTAGGACATACAAGACTAACTTAGAATGCCGGCGAAATATCTGGGGGTGTATCAACTCCACGTTCCAGGGCTGGTTATTATCCTGACTGGAATATCAAAGGTGCGTCCAACCATGCCTGTCTGACAACGCGACCGAATTGTGGAAACGAATTCATGCCATTTCTATGTATCGAAAGAAGACTGACCAAAATAGAGGTCGCAATATCTTGGACTTCCTATCTATGTAGGTTTTGTTTACTTATAGGTCCCTTCCCGTATGATAAAAGTATTATTTTTCACTTTTATTTATTCTATTCGATGTGCCCTTCAGCCTCTTTATTCTGTGCTTCGCTGGGCTGCGCCATAACAGGCCTTATTGCATCAGCGGGGAAGCTTGGGTTCATCTCAACTAAATCCTTCCACCGTCGCATTTGCTGGTTCTCACATTAGCATAGGGAACCGATTTCACTCGTTTGAGTTGAGGTGAAGATCAAATGCTATCTAATGAAAGGAAAAAAAGCAAGTTGATTATACTTGATTGGCGAAAAAATAGTCTGCATCATCTCTGCTGGCAAAATCACTCCCACATTATTCAGTGATTAAGGAAAGCCAATGAAAATTCTGCATTGGATGTAGTGTTGCATTGCTCTTGGCCTACCCAATGTATCTATTCATAAGTCAAGATTATATATAATCAGAATGCTTACCATCAATAGGTTCTGATTAAGAACTGTATTCGCCCTGGATTTCATAGGGTAATGAGGGCCTGATATTCAAATTCTCTTCAATTCACAATTCCTTAACAAGTTTTGATTGACATTTACTCCCCACAAAAGGGAGTGCTGATCTCATGTGCAGTTTTACTGTGAAATTCAGGTCGACGTATTCCACGTGATATCCTCCCTTGTTTGGGGGAAACCAAGCTGGGCTCACGTCCGTCACATGACAGACTTCCCTAGAACTGGAACTCGTACCTACGAAATTCCCAAGTCGATACTACGTCAAGAAGACCGTCTGGATCAGTTACCGTAAATATAGCTAAGCTCTCTTGCCATCATAATTAAACTAAATGTATTTATGAGGGCATAACAGAGTCATTTTGAAAAAACCTACTTTATTCTTGTGCATAAGCATCCTCTTATAAGACCGAATAGGTGGTATTTTTATCGAATATTGCTATCCAGAAAAAGGTAAGTTAAAAACATCGATCGATATGAAATGGCTTTGCTAATTAACTTTCTTCTGGTCAGCTTTTTTTGGATGGTGGTTCAACACCTCTCCACTTTCAATCTATCAATCAAACATAAGTAGTTCCCACTTAACTTTCTACCACCGTTTTTCACATTCAACTTCTTTCCTAATCTATTAATTTCAATAGCCACTATTAGGCTACTTTTAATTC